TATATAATGTATCTATGTATTATATTATGCATTGTGGCAGTGTGAGGGAACACTGCTATATTAGCCCCAGAATGGCACTTTCAGTGTTCCCTGATTAGAGGGGGTTAATAATCAGGCTGATTAAAGAGAAAACGATGACTACAGAGCTGGAGACAATCCAGTCCTGGAGCCAAAGGAGGACTAAATGGGCAACAGGAAAGGGCCTAACCCAACGAAAATGATAATAGAAAAATTCCCAAAGATTAGGGTGTGTGGGGAGGAGAGCAAAAGTCTATCTACCACAACATACTCGACTAAAGGTATGCTCACTTGGGGGTATGCAATCCCCTGGTTTACAAAAATGAAATAAATAAAATAAATTAAAATCAAAAATACTTTATTGAAAAACGTGTAGAGACTATATAAAATACAAGGGGTCCGGGATAGGGGGATGGCCCATGGTCCGTGAGGCTATAATAGTACAATGGGAGGCAGCAAAGCAGATACAGTAAGAAGTTACTATATGGCAATGTTATAAGCCAATGGATACCTAGGAGCTTGTGTACTCGAATTTGCATGTCATAATAGAGTATCTGTAGTGTAACATATTTCAGGAAAATCCTTGGTGAGCCAGAGTGTCTGCACAAGATATAATCAAACTGCTATTGTGGGAATAACACCCAATAAATAAGGTGTAGTTCCCTGGAGTTTGTGGCAAGCTATAAGCCCGTTAGGTAAATAGTAGATAAATCGGGCAAAAGATGCTGGCTACACTAGTGAGATAAACCTGGGATCAAAAGTATAGTATATAAGTAAAGAGAAATAGAATCTGAAAGAAATTCCTCTTATGTATAAAGATACCCAGATAGCTCAATTCATCTAGATAGTAGTCAGCCCCACAGTTCAAAAGTAGTGGAATGCTTGCAAATGCAGACAAGGTAGCAACATTAAAAGTATATTGCTAATTCATAGCAGAATGTTATCAAATCTTTACATAGTTCTGTGTGCCCTGAAATTGTTACTTCAAAAAAAGGGGGATACAGTGTTACACTAATGTGAACTGATTATGAGTGAAGCAAAGCTCCGAGATCTACCCCTGCCTCCTAGGTAAAAAAGAAAGACATCTCCCAACCAACAGGCACATCACCCACAAATTCCCAACCCCATGCAGTGTAGCTATACAATAAGAAATGAGGAAGAGATAGAGAAGTCCGCCCAAACCTAAAAATTAGCGTATAGATATCAAAGTAAAAAAGATATAGCTAGCTAGCTTCTTACTCAAAATATTTGGAAAAAGAAGTCCGCCTAAGTCTAAATCAGACGTTTTGCATAAGGTAAAGAGTAACTAACTAGGCTGAGCTTCTAACTAACTCGACGCGCGTTTTGGCGCTGTGTGGAGCCTTTTTCAAGAGCGGTGAGGAGATCCCCTCGCCACCAGGGTTTAAAAAGGGCTAGTGCCCGCCTCTCCCGTGACATCACGACGGGAGGGGGAGGAGCCAAGGAGTGCTCGGACCGGCAAATATGCCGGTTAGGAAACAGATGAAGCATTACGTCAGTGTAGAGAATTAGTATCTCGGTTGAAACATATGCAATCATACCCTTAATAATTCTTGAGGAGCAGGTCCTTGGGAAGTAAAGTCTCAAAAATAAGGCATCATATGAGAAATATAAAGTATAATTACAATTACAGAGAAAGCATTATCTGCTTTCAATGATGTCATACATGTTACAAAAAAATCAAAGCTGCCAATCATAATTAAAGTAGTAAAGATTCTAAAGTATAAATTAAACCAACAGAAATTGGAAATTGTATTGAAGACTATACCAAATCATTAAAAGTGTTATTTAAACAGTTGGAAGGAACACACACATTAAGACAGCGCCGAAACACGCGTCGAGTTAGTTAGAAGCTCAGCCTAGTTAGTTACTCTTACCTTATCCAAAACGTCTGATTTAGACTTAGGCGGACTTCTCTTTCCAAATATTTTGAGTAAGAAGCTCAGTATAGCTAGATATATCTTTTTTACCTTGATATCTATACGCTAATTTTTAGGTTTGGGCGGACTTCTCTATCTCTTCCTCATTTCTTATTGTATAGCTACACTGCATGGGGTTGGGAATTTGTGGGTGATGTGCCTGTTGGTTTGGAGATGTCTTTCTTTTTTACCTAGGAGGCAGGGGTAGATCTCGGAGCTTTGCTTCACTCATAATCAGGTCACATTAGTGTAACACTGTATCCCCCTTTTTTTGAAGTAACAATTTCAAGGTACACAGAACTATGTAAAGATTTGATAACATTCTGCTATGAATTAGCAATATACTTTTAATGTTGCTACCTTGTCTGCATTTGCAAGCATTCCACTACTTTTGAACTGTGGGGCTGACTACTATCTAGATGAATTGAGCTATCTGGGTATCTTTATACATAAGAGGAATTTCTTTCAGATTCTATTTCTCTTTACTTATATACTATACTTTTGATCCCAGGTTTATCTCACTAGTGTAGCCAGCATCTTTTGCCCGATTTATCTACTATTTACCTAACGGGCTTATAGCTTGCCACAAACTCCAGGGAACTACACCTTATTTATTGGGTGTTATTCCCACAATAGCAGTTTGATTATATCTTGTGCAGACACTCTGTCTCACCAAGGATTTTCCTGAAATATGTTACACTACAGATACTCTATTATGACATGCGAATTCGAGTACACAAGCTCCTAGGTATCCATTGGCTTCTAACATTGCCATATAGTAACTTCTTACTGTATCTGCTTTGCTGCCTCCCATTGTACTATTATAGCCTCACGGATCATGGGCCATCCCCCTATCCCGGACCCCTTGTATTTTATATAGTCTCTACACGTTTTTCAATAAAGTATTTTTGATTTTAATTTATTTTATTTATTTCATTTTTGTAAACCGGGGGATTGCATACCCCCCAAGTGGGCATACCTTTAGTCGAGTGTGTTGTGGTAGATAGACTTTTGCTCTCCTCCCCACACACCCTAATCTTTGGGAATTTTTCTATTATAATAATCAGGCTGCTCTAGTACATCAATTAGGGAGCTACATGAACCCTATGCAGAGGGAAATCAGTCTCTCCTGTGAAGAGCTGGGGTGGAGACAGAGAGACAGACAGAGAGAGACTGAGAGAAAGAGAGACTGAGAGAGAGAGTGAGAGAGACAGAGAGAGACTGCTAAACCATTATAGCAAGAAAAGGTATTTTGCAAGCCTTTATTTTTATTTGTTAAACTCCTGGGGTCAGCTTAGCTGCCCAGTAGGATAGAAAGGGTACTCTATGTTCGTTAGTCTCCAGTGTGGAGTAGGAGTTTAGTTTGGTGGCTCAGTTGGGGCCGGCTTGCTAAATAAAGATTTCCTCATATTGGAAGAAAGAACTGTTTCTGTGGTTTAAGACCCAAAACCCGGCTACAGTATCTCTGTATTATACTGTGTATCTCGGTAATATAGTATGTGTATCTATGTATTATAGTATGTGTATCCCTGTATTATACTGTGTATCCCTGCATTATACTGTGTATCTGTGTATTATAGTATGTGTATCTATGTGATATTGTGTATCATTGTAGTGTGTATCTATGTGATATTGTGTATTTGTGTGATATTGTGTATCTGTGTATTGTATTGTAGTGTGTATCTATGTGATATTGTGTATCTGTGTATTGTAATGTGAAGCTATGGAGTATTTCTGCACTAGTGCAAAACTTGTCCGCATATATGAGGACATTTTACTCTTTTGCATCTTAAAGCCACAAGCCATCTGTATCCAACTAATGAAACATAACTCTCTAATTGTTCTGAGAGTTCTCATTGACTGTTTTTGTTGGTATTTTGTATGTATACCTTTTTTAGTGTGCAATGGTTGATATATTGGAGTCTTTTAATGAGTTATTTGATGCATGGGGTTTAATGGTGTATCCTACAATTTATTATGACCGCTAGAGATCTGCCCAAGGAAATATTTGCTGTGTCATTATTCATTTATTTATTTTTGGTTTGGGAAAGCGAATTTCGACCAAAAATTGTATCCATTTTCTGAATTGGGACACCCATTATCCCTTATGTGGAATGAATAGAGCGAAGTAACATTTAAGGAATTATCCGCTAAACTGCTGAAAGATCTAACTGAAGAAAATGTATATTTTAATCTTGGCCTTTTAGCTGTTTAGTAGATAGATCTGTTTTGCTGTCCTTATCAAAACAAATGGATCCCCCCAAAAGGTTCTTCTATTTATTATGGTTTCCTTCATTTCCTTCCAGTTTGGCAAATTTCGACAAAATCCGATTCCTTCTGAAACATGCACCTCTTATGGTAAGTTGGAGGATTTGTACCATGGATATCATTCTTAAATGATCATGTTCCCTTAGACTTAGAGGCTCTGTGGGTGCACTTGTAGGGTCACGTAACCTTATCAGTTGGTTGGTTGATGGTTTTTGGATGGATGTAATGATAGGTTTACGAGAGGTCATGCTGCCCACATGGAAATAGCAGTCTAGTCCTTGATAGCTTCTTCCTACTGCATGAGCATATGTATGCTTATTTTATGGCAAGGTCTATGATAAGTAAGAGTGTGATGTTTGTGACTGTGGTGTGTATGGTTGTGTGGGAGTGTGACTGAAGTGTTACTATGAGTAGATGTGTTCTGCCTGTGAATGATTTAGGACAGTGATCCATTAGTGCGATTTGACACGGCCGGTCTTCCCTATCAAGTTTTTAATAAGTTTGTAGGAGATTATAAAAATCCCCCTCTCTCTTTCATTAGAGATTATTTACCTTTTGGCAGAAGGGAGCAAGGTGAATTGTTAGTGTGAGGATTGCTATGAGAGATGAGCTGACACTTTAATGGCCATTGGAGTGATACTATAAACCTCGAGTTATTTAAATGTGCATATTGATTGGGGGTACAGAGCAGGTGACTTTTGGGCTCATCACAAGTACTATTTATGTTTTGTTATGTTGTGAAGTTATACATGTCATTTTATTGCAAGCTTCATAAATGGTCCATATGAGAGTTTTATTGGAAACATAAGAATTTACCATTTGGCAAGAATAAAAATAGAAACTATTGATTATTTTGTAAACTGAAAAAACAGACAAAATGAAAGAAATACTTCCTGAGACAACATCATATCACCACTTTTATATATCGATATTTGAAATCGAATTCTGGCTGTCCAAAGTTCCTCTTTAACTGTCCCTAGTCCTACCATTGATCTCCCATCTCACTACAATAATTGACTTGGAAATGTAATAAAGAGATTTAGGTGTCTTAATCCCACATCTAAATAAAAGTAAAGATCTACTCTCCATTGACTGCAGTTTAATTTGGTGATTGTCTGTACAAACTGTGTGATCAATGCTGGTTGGTTGCACAAACTGTGTGATCAATGCTGGTTGGTTGCACAAACTGTGTGATCAATGCTGGTTGGTTGCACAAACTGTGATCATTGTTGAGTGGTTGTACACTGCTAATTAATATATGATCAAACTCCAACTAATGCGTTGTTTCTAGCCTGATGACCTTGTATACAAATCATTTTATCCCATCTTTATTTATTAAACCCTAAATATAATTTGGTTATGTTTGCTTGAATCAGATTAAATTTTTTGTTCTGGTTGGTGGTCTGTATTTTACTCCTTATAAATTATTGAACAGAGAATAACCGACCCCAAAAGCACTTAAACTAGGATTCAGTTGGTCTCTGTGTCTGCTACATGGCAGGAAGGGAGGCATACAATCGTCCGGTGCGTGTCCGATGAGCGCATTGGCTGGGTAGGTTGCAGACGTAGCATTGTATAAATTAATCCAAAGATCAAGTAGTCTGTGGAGAGACACAATAATGAACAGGGATTCTCTTAGAGCAACTGTAAATACCAGACATACACAGGGACCTGGGAACAGACAAGATACACACAAAGACAAAACAAAAATATACAGATTTCAGATGGAACATGTAATCTACACACTAGAAAAGTTTTTACATGTTAGTAAATAACAGGAAATCTGCATCCTAGGAACTATGTGGCTAACCATGCAAGGAAGCTGCTTGTAATATACACACTAAGAGCCAACATGTAACCTAAATGCTAGTAAATAATCTACAGGTCAGGTTTTTGGCATTATAGTGCAGCTGTATGTTAAGACACCCTAAAGCAGGGGTCTGGCACATGTTGTGGCCCCTTGATTTTCGTCAGCGCCGAGTGGAAGTGCCACCCGTGAGTCACTGCCTCCCACTAAGGAAAGGAGCTGCACAGGAGGGGGGCCTGGGCCTGTAGAGGCAGACCCCAACAGTTTCAGCCTCCAGAATGGACAATGGGGAAACCACCTGTTACAAATTACCCTCTGTCTGCCACGTTTTCTACATTTTGCTGTTTATATTGCTATAATAAAACCCACGAAAACCGTCCCCAGGTCATTCGTATGTACAAATGACCGACCACCCAGCATATGGAGTGTGCCGCCTAGTAACTGCCCAGAATCTGCGGTTTTACCTTGTTAACCCCGTTCACCTCTAAATTACCGAACAAACTACTGAACCTATTACCGAACGACTGACCACCCTGCCTGAGGAGTGTGCCCCTTATTAACAGCCCAGAATCTGAGGTTTGTGGTTAACCGCAGCTGAATTATCGATCGGCAGGGTGTTTGTCGTTTGTATGCACGAACACGTGGCGGTGGCCATCTTTAACTGCCGAAAGCCCAGCAGGACTCAGTCATCAACCTTCTGGTACCATTCTCGGACACTATCGATCACGAACCTGCTGGGATCGCCAAAACCTTGTCTGTTCATATTTAAATTAATGAACACTGTGCCGTTCGGTACTTTGAGACTCTGGAGGCTAGACCGACCCTATATCTGAACATTGTTGGCTTTTACTGAACCACCCTAGAGACAAACTTTATCCCCATGGCATTCCTATCCTATTCGTGAGATCTGAGTGCTTTTCGGATATCTTGTGCACTCAGATGCAAGCTGTCTGGGGATTTGTGGAATGTATAAGTTAAATAATATATTGTATGAGTTATAGATTTTTATGTGGTTTTTAGTGTAATTGCAAAACCAGAATATTGCCTGTACCTGGAAATAATTAAGTTACTGTAACCATTTAAGCTAATTATCTCCAGGATAGAAAGGAGGGTTTGAAAAGATGCACTTTGTCCTAATTGGTTATTGTCCCTTGTAACACGGTGTACCATCAGGTCCAGAGGGTGTACCTCTGGCCTAAAAATGTGTATATAAGCAATGCCTTTCCGTTCAATAAACCAGTCTTCTTACCCTCAACTCGCAGCCTCGACTCGTGTTGTAGGGAAATGTTGATCACTAGCTCTGCTAAGAACGCCAGGGATACTCTACATTTGCAGGAAGATGGCTAGGAGCTCAATTGGAGCTTTCTACTGCTCTCAATGATCTTGGACAACTCCATCCAAACGGTCCAACTCTCAGCTATCCTGAGACCAGTGGCGTACACATGACCCATGGGGCCCCGGTGCGAAAATTGATCCGTGGGCCCTCCCCCTTACTCGGCGCGGGTCGGGGCTGCAACACATGGCGGCTGGCACCTGGTCGCAGGGGTTGCAGGGCTGCGACACCGCGACCGCGGTATGCACACACACTTAAAGGACCACTACAGACACCCAGATCACATCAGCTCAATGAAGTGGTCTTGGTGCCAGGTGCCTCTGGTTTTAACCCTGCAGCTGAAATGGCTATGTTTCACTGAGGGTTAATCCAGCCTCTGGTGGCTGTCTCATTGACAGCCGCTAGAGGAGCTTCCACGATTCTCCTCTTGCCGCGCATGTGCATTCGGAGCTGAGAGGCGGATGGAAAGGTAAATGCTGAAGACACACACACATACTCTCACGAACAGACGCATACACACTAGCTAACAGACACACACATTTACTGACAGAGACACACTCAGTGACAGACATACATACTCACTTACAAAACATACACTTTCACTGACAAACACTCACTAACAGACATCAAACACACTCAGTAACAGACACACACAGTAACACACTCACTAGCAGACACACACCCAATAACAGACACACTCACTGATACACACTAACACACTAACATACACACACACTAACACACACACATTTTTTTTTTTAAATTTAATCCCCTCAGCCTCCTTACCTTTTGGAGAGCTGAGGGGATTCCCTGGGGTCAAGTGGTGCTGCTGGGCGGGCTGGCTGTCTGGGTGGCCGGTGCACAAGGGAGAACTCTCCCCTGAGTGCTTTGTCTTCGGCTCTCTCGGGCGCCGCATAGGGTTGCCGGCGCCGGAAGATGACGTCATTTTCCGGCTCCGGTATCCGTTCAGTGCGCGAGGGAGCTGAAGAGGAAGCACAGAGGGGAGAGTGCTCCCTTGAGCACCGGCCACCCAGACAGCCAGCCTCAGGGGTGGCCCTGAGGTAGCTGGCTCCTGGGGCCCCCCAGGGGAAGAGGCTGGCACTGTTGGTACATACCGGGTCGCAGGGGCGACCCCTGCGACCCTGGTATGTATTATATTAATTGTGTGTATGTGATGCACTGCCTGAGACAACCATAACACCACCCTCCAAGGTAGGAAACTGAAAGGTCAGTTTAAAAGTGTAAATTTATGTCAGTATGTCTGTCAGTGTTGTAGCGGTCCTACTAGAAACATGGCTGGTTGCCCCTGCTCAGCCACGTCCTTCCTTAGAAAGGGTCAGTTAAAATATAGAAAGACCCATTTCCCACCCAGTAACCAGGGGGGTACAACAACAACTTTATTGGCCACATTTGGCTTTATACTCTTCACCATGCAAGGGGTGAATCACACACAAAGGGTGGATCACACCCTCCCAGGGCCCTCCCCCTCCCAGGGGTCTCCTGACAGAAACACAACTCCAGTCCCTTTGTCCCCTGTTCTCGCCACCTATCCTCAGGTTTTCCCACCTCTGGTGACCAGGGGGTCTTCATCCCATAATCATCTGAACCTGGGAGTCTCAGCGCGGGAAAGCGTCCCACCTCCTGGCCTCCCAGTTACAGAAATCCAGCCAAACCGCTGTGGCGAAACCAGCCTCGCCACGTGTCCTTGGAGGGGGCTGCTTGCCCGCCTCTTGCCTTTGGACTATGGACTAGACTTTATGTGAATGTGTTAACCGAGATAGCTATGCCATGGAGCCCATTTGTGTAGTTAAAGACTTTGGCTCCATGGCAATTGAACTGTGTGAATAGGATCTGAGCGCTCCTCGGTAGTTTTGTGCGCTCAGATCCCAGCTATCTGGGGATATGTGAAATGTCGGTGTGTTATGTGTAAAAGGTGACTTTATGTATTTTAAAGTGTTTTATGTCTTTTTGCAACCATGTGCTCAATGAAGTCTGCCTCTATCCTTGGATAATTGGATTACTTTCCCCATTGTCTCCAGACTCTGTAAAACCTGTTTGAGCCAGATATCCATGTGCCAGCCAGGGCCCAAAAGATACTTTTACTAACTTTTGAACCCCTGGTCAGATTCATGCCATTTTTTAATATGTTGTTCCCCTGAATGGATTGATTGTGAATATGTAATTTTATGTGAATGTGATGTATGGTTTTAAAGTTATGAAAGTTGGGTAGAAAGTATGTTTTAACTGTATGTGTAATTGAGTTTCCTCTCAGGATAAGGGGAGGGAATATGTGGGATGTAACTGATATGTGATTGGTTGTTTTATACCTCCCTGTGGGCGGTCCTGTATGTGAAAGGCTGTAATAAAAACCAGGCTGGGTGTGCCAGCACAGGAGTTCCTGTTTTAACCCTCAAAGTGAAGTGTCGTCTCATTATTGGGGGAAGGATTTATTGTATGCTGTTCCAGTTTGACTGCTAGGAGAGTAAACCTATTCGTATGGTTCCTATTCAACTGTCTACGCTTCTCCGGTATACGCTTCTCCGGTTCGGTGATTGTGGTGTCTGCCAGAGTGCTTGGAGTCCTCAGGAAGTGCTAGGAGCATCCTTCAACGGAGGTACCCAGTCGGGGTGCCAGGCGATCCGTTACAACCGCCATTGTCCCCAAAGAGTGACCCCACCCTGAGGGACCCCCCAGAATGGTAACTGCCATGAACAGCCTTCGTTCGTGGGGTGCCTGGGTAAAACGAATCAAGGGAAGCGTCTCCTTTCGGGACACGAATGCTCCCCCTGGCCGCCGCCCGTCTATACAAACTGAACGAGCTGAGAAGCAATCTGCGAATGATCTCCCTGGATGGCTCTCGTATAAGGAACGGGCCAGGACCCGTGGGAGGCATGCGCCAAGGCTTCCTTTGCGGTTTGTGGTTTTGACACTTCGAGGTGCAAACGTTCTAAACCAACTGTCAGGGTTACTATCTGGACAACCAAGAATGTTGTTTCTTTTATTTGTTTCTTTAAAAAATGTTCCAGTTTTCTCCACTAGCCTGAACAAACTTTCTCTCACCTGCCTCTCATATCAGTTCAACCTGCTATAAGAGTCCACACCCTGCTAGACAATTACAATTATCCTAAAAGACTTTAATTCATTTATCCAAAAAAGTGCTATACAACCTGCAACCCAAAAGAAGCTTATTACCTAAATGTCTGACATCTGTATTACTATATCATTTTATAGTCCTGTTTAGTTTTGTCGTATTTTGTTTTACCTGTAACCTATGATTTTCAGTTATAGGTTTTCATTATTTATCTCTAATATGTATTCTATGTTATCCTGTTACTAAAATCCTGACTTGGGCATATTGTCTAAACTTTATATTTCTGTAGTCTCCTGTTACCTTACCTATAACTTCCTTTTATAGGATCTCATTCTTAGTATTACCTACAACTTCCTATATAGGTTCTCATTCATACTACTACCTCAAAATCTTATAGGTTCTGCTTCTAACTATCTCCTGTTAACCCTGTGGGCTTATTGCCTAAATCTATATTTCTTAGTACACAAAATACTCTCCTGTAATTTTCATTCCCACTTTGTTTTTATAACTTCACTTCCTTTTTGTCCTAAAACTCGTATTATTTTTAAGACAAATAATGTCTAAAGATCACAAAAAAATAAATACCCTGAAGTTAACCCTAGTTTCAGTCTCATATCTTATCAGAAGCATGACACAACACTCTAAATGGGTTGTTGGGATGGTCCCTGTTCAGGAGGTGAATGCATTCCCTTCCTGTAGAACCTCCCGAACGCGGAGCAGGCACATTCCTATGAAAATAACGGGAAACACACAGCAATTCACAAACAAGCAGCGATCCTGTCACACAGCTCCCCCTTAACCACAAGCTGGCACACATAGTCTGATCCCAATGGATCGGCTCGTGGATGTCCGGGGCAGTGTGTTACAGACTGCCATTTGTAACTGTTATTTTATTTGACAAACTGCCCTGCTTCCCTGTGTTATGGAGAAGCCTAATTGCCAGCCTTCTGCCCCATGACTATGGACCTAGTGTGTATGGCGATTTGACTGTATTTCGGGATCTGAGCGCTGTTTGGATATATTGAGCGCTCAGATCCAAGCCATCTGGGGATAGGTTGAATGTGGGGGTTCTGTTCAGTTCGATAGGAGTTATGTATTTTTGTGTCTTTTTGTGTCTTTTGCTAACATGTGGTTAATGGAGTCTGCCTCTATCCCTGGATATAACTGGATTATTTTCCCCATTGTCTCCAGGTTAGAGGGCTCTGTAAAACCGGTTTGGGCCAGATAACCATACTGCCAGCCAGGCCCCAAAAGATACTTTTGCTAACTTTTGAACCCCTTGTCTGATGTGTGCCATTTTTTTATATGTTACTCCCCTGAATGGATTGATTCTAAATATGTATGAAGATTGGATGTATGGTTTTAAAGTTACAGGGTATGGATAAAAACTGTATTTTTACTGCCTGTGTTTAATTATGTTAACCCATTGTGCAATATAATTAGATCACAGGCAGAGGGGAGGATTTTTGTGTGTAATTGCTGGGAGTGTTTCTGTAATGTATGTTTATTATTGGCTGTTGTGTAAAACCCTGTGGGTGGTCCTACCTAAGGGAAACCTGCATAAAAGAAGGTTCTTTGTGTGCCAATAAACAGAATGACTTGACCCTCTTACTTGCAGCCTTGACTCATGTTTGTAGGGGACAGCTATAATCACTACAGGGATTGCTATGTTCTTCATACTCCCTTATCTACTGAGCTCTTGTAAGAGCTCTTGTTCCTGATCCTGCTTCGCTCTACAGAAGGAAGGGATTCACCTACTGGAACTTGGAGCCTAGTCGTAGGTCCAGGGTGGATAGCAGACGGGGAGATCCTAGCCCAGCAGCGGTGGTTCGTTGAGCCTGCAGTACTTATGGTGTCTACGGTGCTGATGGTCCTTTGGTGAGCGCTAGGAGCATCCTTTCTATGGTCCAACTTCCAGCCAGCCTGGAGGCAACCGTAACAGAGTGCTCACGGATCACTTCTCCAGGACTGTCTGTCTCGATAATCCATCTGCATTGCCGTTTTGCTTACTGGGTCTATAATGGATGATTAAGTCATAAGGTTGTAGCACCAAGCTCCATCGCAACAGCCTGGCATTGTCCCCAAAGACCCGCTTAAGCCATACCAGTGGGTTGTGATCCATGAGCAGGGAGAATTGCTGTCATAAAGGTAGGACTGTAGTTTGCCAGGCACTCCACGATGGCGACGTAGCTTACGTCCCTGGGGAGTAACTTCCTGCTAAGGTAAGTCACTGGGTGTTCGCTGCCACTGTCGCCGACCTGGCTAAATACCGCTCCTAACCTAAACATGGAGGCATCTGTGTGAACAAGAAAATGTTTTCTGGGATTAGGAGCAGCCAGGACAGGGGTATTCACCAGGGAGTTCTTGAGGGCTTGGAATGCCTACTCACACTCTGGGATGCAGTCTACCTGTCGGGGCAAGGTCTTTCTGGTAAAATTGGTGAGGGGCTTAGATAGGGCGCTGTAGTTGGGGACAAACTTCCTGTAACTTCCTTTAGTGCGGGGATGGGGCCAGTTAGCTACTGCCTCTATCTTGTCGGGTTAAGGCTTCTGGGACCCACACCCAATCCGGTATCCTACGTATTGCACCTCGGCCATCCTTAAGTGACACTTGCTGGGTTTTAGGGTCAACCCTGCCTCCCTAATCCTGTCTAGTACAGCTTCCACGTATACTAGATGCTCTTCCCAAGTGTCTCTGTATATGGCGATGTCATCCAGGTATGCACAGGCATCCTCATGGAGGGCATCGAGCAGCTGGTCCACCATCCTCTGGAAAGTGGCTGGGGCATTCTTCAACCCAAATGGCATCACCTTTGGGGAATCTGCCAGTATCCCTTGCACAAGTCTATAGTGGTGAGGTATCGGCCCACAAGCCATCCTATCTAGCAGCTCATCTATACGTGGTATGGGGTACGCTTCTGAGACCGTCTTGTTGTTGAGCCTCCTGTAGTCCACACAGAACCTGGTAGTCCCATTCCCCATGGGTGGCTAGTGCGGTATATACCTGGCATTTCCTGTGCCTGTCGGCATTCTCCTTCGTTTAGCCAATCCTCCTAAGTGGACCTCGTCTATGGACCATGCCGGAGTCCCCTCCTCCAGGAGATCAGGCAGGGGAAGATTATCAAAATCTTCCAAAGCTGGAGCACTTATGGCTGCTACAGCCCCCTCCCAGTGCTCTCGGACAAGGTCTAGGGGGCCCCTCACTCTCTGCCTGAAGATCAGCTCGAATGGCTCGACTGTGCCATTGAAGCGCTCGCACAGACCATTGGTCTGAGGGTAGTAAGGGGAGCTCAGGATTGGTTTAATGTCTCATAACCTCCACAGTTGGATGGTCCTTTTGGCAGTAATCTGGGAGCCCAATCCAAAATGATCACCCGGGGAAAACCCATGCGGGAGAACACTTGCATCAGGGCTTGGGGCTACAGTCTCAGCCTGAATGTTGGTCAGGGCGACTGCCTCAGGGTACCGAGTCGCATAGTCCACAATGGTCAGAATATTTGGGGGGTTTTCCCAGAGGGCCTAGGCTTAGCCAAGGGGCCTATGATATAAACAGCTACTCTGCCGAATGGGTCTTCAATGATGGGGAGGTAATGGAGCTTGGCCTTGCGCCAGTCGCCCTGCTTCCTCACTCGTGTGCAGACATCACCGGTCTAGCAATACTGCCTCAGATCCTTAGAGATGCCTGGCCATAAAAAAACTTATCTTCAGCAGCTCATGTTGATATTTCCTGGGTTCCACCAACTGCCTGGTGGTAATAGGAGTTGTACCTGACTTCTTGTTCTGCGGTATTGTAGCCCCTGCCCTCAGATGTACCGCTCCCCCTCCTTCCCTACCCAACCCGTGTCTGCCCTGTCTCTACATGCCTGGAGGGTCCGGCTGGACGCTACCTACCTCCCAAACTCCCTCCCCAGGGGAGGGGTGCTGGGGTATGCTGGGCAGTACTGGGGACCTCGTTTGGGAGGGTAGCACGGGTGGTCTACTTACAGGGGTGGTAACGAGGCACTAGCATAGGGGAACTGACCCGGGGGCTGACTTTAAGGGGCTGGGGCATAGGGACAGGTGCTGGGGCATAGGGACAGGTGTAGGTGACTACCAGTGCCTCAGTGTTAGCTGTGCCGGGGGTTGTGGTGCATATGTCTGCATGTGTGTCAGTATGTCTGTCAGTGTGTGTGTGTGTGTGTGTTAGCATGTCGGGCAGGGGGCCCAAGCAAATGGTTGCCCAGGGTAGGTCAATATTCAAGATGGCCCTGGATTTCTGGTATAATTCCACATGATGATACAAACCTTACCGATTGACTCATTGGATACCAGGTTTTCATAACATTTTACTACCTGAAATCAAAGAGTGTGACTAGACCTCTAAACATTTTTGTTTTAAAAATCACTTGACTTTCACCAGATTTTACCATTTATTCTCCCATATTTAGTACATACTTGTCCATCCAACTAAGTTGGAAGATGAACAGGGGGTCGTTGGCACTGATTGGAAACTCGCTCATGGTTCCTCCGAGATACTGATGCCACAATAAGTTCATTGCCATGACTCTGGATGTACCATCAGTGGGCGTTTTGTGTCCTAGACATAAATACATGGAAAAGCATGCCATAAAACAAATTCAATACTGTTAATAAACATCTGAATCACCTGAAGATGAAAATAAACTTTTGTTAACTTTGTGAATTTCAAATGTAAGACAGCTATTCTTACAGTTCAGATACTTTGACCTTAAATTTCAAATTCTCACTTTAGTGAATAATCTTGTTAAACATTCACAATGCACATTCCTCTCTCAGAATTCTTATAATTCCCATTTGTGTTCTTTATACTAGCAGCGCAGGGGGTTAGGAAAGGGGGTTAGCCAGGTTAGGCCTCAGACTGAGCGAGTCAGTCTTAGCCAGTCCCACATGCCTTAGGGTCAGGATATAAACAGTCTGTGGCAAAACCGGCCTCGCCACATGTCTTTGGAGGGGGCTGCTTGCCCGCCTCTTGCCTTTGGACTATGGACCATACATTATGTGAATGTGTTAACCCAGATAGCTATGCCATGGAGCCCATTCGTGTAGTTAAAGACTTCGGCTCCATGGCAATTGAACTGTGTGAATAGGATCGGAGCGCTATTCGGTAGTTTTGTGCGCTCAGATCCCAGCTATCTGGGGATATGTGAAATGTCTGTGTGTTATGTGTAAAAGGTGACTTTATGTATTTTAAAGTGTTTTATGTCTTTTTGCAACCATGTGCTCAATGGAGTCTGCCTCTATCCCTGGATAATTGGATTACTTTCCCCCATTGTCTCAGGATAGAGGGCTCTGTAAAACCTGTTTGAGCCAGATATCCATGTGCCAGCCAGGGCTCAAAAGATACTTTTATTAACTTTTGAACCCCTGGTCGGATTCATGCCATTTTTTAATATGTTGTTCCCCTGAATGGATTGATTGTGAATATGTAATTTTATGTCAATGTGATGTATGGTTTTAAAGTTATGAAAGTTGGGTTGAAAGTATGTTTTAACTGTATGTGTAATTGAGTTTCCTCTCAGGATAAGGGGAGGGAATATGTGGGATGTAATTGATATGTGATTGGTTGTTTTATACCTCCCTGTGGGTGGTCCTGTATGTGAAAGGCTGTAATAAAAACCAGGCTGGGTGTACCAGCACAGGAGTTCCTGCTTAACCCTCAAAGTGAAGTGTCGTCTCATTATTGGGGGAGGATTTATTGTATGCTGTTCCAGTTTGACTGCTAGGAGAGTAAACCTATTCGTATGGTTCCTATTCAACTGTCTACAGCATTCATATGCTTGGGAGAATGTATTTGTTTCTCCGGTTCAGTGATTGTGGTGTCTGCCAGAGTGCTTGGAGTCCTCAGGAAGCGCTAGGAGCATCCCTCAACGGAGGTACCCAGTCGGGGTGCCAGGTGATCCGTTACACAGTCACACTGTTAGAATATTTATATGATCGGGATTAGAGTTGAGTGAACCCGGACTGTAAAGTTTGGGTTCGTACCGAACATTAGGTTTTTTTGGACCCCGGACCCTAACACGGACATGTTACTGTATGTTCGGGTTGGAGTTCGGTGTTTGGCAATTTAATGGCGCGTTTTCAAAGGCTACAGGGCAGCCAATCAACAAGCGTTTGACTTGTGTGTCCTTAGAAACCATCACAGCCATGCCTACTAATGGCATTGCTGTGATTGGCCAGTGCAGCATGTGACCCAGTATATTTTATATATATATATATATATATATATATATACACACTGGAATCGCGTAGCGCCACACGCACATGCGTTCTTATTAGTGTAGGGAGAGGATGCTGCCGCTGATATGGACAGCTTAGGAAATAATTCTGCAAACTAGTACAATTTCCATATGTCTTTTGCAGACTTTACATGCTGGAAAGTCAACTGCTGTGGCTTTCTGCAGTGTGGATTACCGGCAAGGAGGGCAGGGTTGAGGAGTGGGTGGAGGATGATGAGGTCCTAGACCCCACATGGAATGAAGGTCATACGAGTGACATGTGCAGTTTGGAGGAAGTGGCACTGGTCGAACAGAGGCACTAGCACAGCATAAGAGGGAGCAGGGTACAAAAGCGAAGCTCGAATTACCAGTTATCCAAGTAACATGTAGCGATATTCGTACCAGATATAACGATCCATTCATAGTTTCACAGTGTGGCGGGCAGTCCGGTGACCAGGACCCAGACACTGTCTGGGCGGCGGTCAGACGACCGGGACCCAGTATGCCTGATGTTGAAGTTAGGAGCCACAGTGTGGAATGGATTAGCAGGGTGCAGGGTAATCGCACGCCCACTGGTGTTGAGCACCAGCGTTTGTGTGGACACATACCAGGACCCTGATGCAGCTTCAGTAAAAAGAGTACTGGATACCAGAAGCCATCACCAGACTGGTTCACAACTTGGAACAGGATGTGACATTCACTGTAGTGGCTGTGCGCGCTTTCTGGCGTTGTCATCCTGCTGCTGCTCGCCTGTCTGTGCTGCAGCGTAACTTTGGCATGCCCGCTCACCACCTCATGAGACTGTGCGAGCAGTAGCAGGCGAAAGTGGAGTTTCAGCTGCAGCACGCATGGGTCAGTGGCTCTGTACCAGACTTCCCTCCAATTGATCAGAGTTAAAGGATTTCAAGTGGACTCATTACAATTAAAGAGTCCTGTATTGTTTTTGGTCGTCACTACCATACCGCGTCGGGAGTGGGTCATTTGCGCGCCTGCTGCCTTCCTTGCATGTGGTAGCCGTTTCTCAGGGTCCCTGTACGGAATGGAACCCTGATTCCCCATTACTCGTGGTCACCATGGTAGGCGCAGAAAGTTGATGTGGATGACATACGCATGCAAAGTCGCCGCCACGGGAATGTGCGATTGGCCCATGGTTCTCTAGAGTCAACAAGGTGCCTGCGCAACTATAATGTCAACAGCTACTCTGCGGAACAGAGTTGTAATTTTTTTTATATGTCCCAATATTTTGGGGGCTACCCCAAATAAAAAAAAAAAAATTAAATTATTTATCTATTGGCTATGTCATCCTCCTCCTCCTCCACCGCCATGGTCACCGCCTCCTCAACCTATGGGTCACTTAGTATAAACTATGTACCCATTAGCAGAGGCTTGTGAAGGCCTTTTCTCCATGCATCAGGACTGCAAGAAATGCACCGCGGCGCAAATGTTTCTTTTTTTTTATATGTCCCAATATGTTGGGGGCAACTCCAATTAAAATAATAAAAATATATAAATACACAGTGTTGGCTATCTCCTTCTCCACCGCTGCTTCCACCTACACCGCCTCCTCAACCTCTGGGTCACGAAGTATAAACTATGTACACAATAGCAGAGGCTTGTGAAGACCTTTTCTCCATGCATCAGGAGTTGAGCTCAGTATGAACAATGAAAGAATGCCGAAGTTATGCTGCAGCACAGACAGGCGAGCAGCAGCACGATGACAACGCCAAAAACGCGCACAGCCACTACAGTGAATGTCACATCCTGTTCCCTGCACTCCAACCCTCTCTCAAATGGATAATTCTGGTGATCCTCCTGACAGCCATTCTTTAGATTTTGATTTATATTCTTTCAGAGCTAAAATCAAAAGATTCCATCTAGTGCTATTTAATGGCTCAGCTGTATTTTTAATTTTTATGTTATTTTAAGTGATTTCCCTATCCACATTTGTTTGCAGGGCACTTGTCCTACTCTTACCCCCATTTTACTTGCTTTTGCAGCTCTCTAGCTCTTTCCTGGAGTTTTTTAGAGGCATTTTTGTGCCCAAAAGTTCGGGTCCCCATTGACTTCAATGGGGTTCGGGGTCAAGTTCGAGCCCAAACCCAGACTTTTTTTCAAAGTTCGGCCGAACCCGAACATCCAGGTGTCCAATCAACTCGAATCGCCATATAAACGGTCACACTGTTAGAATATTTTATATGGTCGGGATATGAACGGTCACACTATTAGAATATTTTATATGGTCGGGATATAAATGGTCACACTATTAGAATATTTCATATGGTCGGGATATAAACGGTCACACTATTAGAATATTTCATATGGTCGGGATATAAACGGTCACACTATTAGACTATTTTACATGTGATGTAAACTGTAGCATTGTTACAATATGTTATGATAGGGATATAAACTGTTGCACTATTAGAATATTTTATAGGATTGGGATGAAAACTGTCACACTACTCAAATATTTTTATTTAGTCAATTGGTAAACTCTCACACTATTAGAATATTTTATATGATCGGTTAGTAAACTGTTGCACTGTTAGAATATTTTATTTAGTCAATCAGTGTGACAAACTCCCCATTTCAAGTGAGTTTGCCACAAGTTCTTGGAGGGGCCTGCTTGCCAGCCTCCTGCCCACAGACTATGGACCTGGTGAGATATAATGTCAAAGTCTCTGTTTGTGCCTTCTTCAGCATTTGGAGTTAGCTCTTCAAATTTCCAAAGTGGTTCGAGGTGGGACTTCTATCTGTCGAACACCAGGACCACCCTCAAGTGGAGTGTGCTGCTTTATAACCTCCCAGAAACTGTGGTTAACTGCAGCTTAATTGATTAATAGCTGGGTGGTCACCGTTCGTATTGTCGAATACGTGGTGGCGGCCATCTTGCTTGTTCAAACGCATCCAGAGGTGTTTTGTCATTGAGCACATGGATCTAAAATCGGACACTCAACGGCACAAACACCGCTGGGATTACCACCTCCAGTTAGGTTCGACTAGATTTGCACGAACGGAGCACCGTTTCTGTAGAAATAATCTACCAAAGCAGATAAACTTATTCACTCTGTGCACGAATGGCCCTGTTCGACTATTTGAACGTTACTTCGACTGGCCAAAAAGAGATTTCCTGGAAATTCCTGAACCCCTGGTCTGATCTGGGTGAGTTTTTGGGATATGTTGTTCACCTAAATCAGGGCTATCAGAGGATATGTTGTTTTTGGGTACTTTTGGGACTTTTTAGAAATGTGTGGGGGTTTTTTTGCCTGGAGATAATTGAGTTGACACAGTAATCAACTCAATTATCTCCCAAGCCGAGGGGAGGGATTGTTTGCATTGTGTGGGAGTGCCTTACATTGTAAATGTGTTATTGGTTTGGAAGTGTGTGTCCCTGTGCCCAACAAGGTCCACCTGGGTGTCGCCCTTGTTGGGAAACTTGTATAAAAGGCAGTGTGCCTCCATTAAACTCGTATTCCAGCTTACACTCCAAAACTGTGTGTCGTCCTGTTATTGGACGGAAAGAAGATTTACTCCTGTTCCAGCTTGCAGGGGATTCAACAGGGAAAGTCTGTGTAAGGACTAGAGCTAATTCCCCATTTGGCTCCAGGAAGGAGCGGTTCCAGGGCCCTAGTTAAGCCACAGAGACTGTGGGCAGAAGTGCTGCGGTTTGTCCCCTGTCCCAGCTAGGGAGCTCCGTTACAAGTATTAAACTGTTGCACTATTAGAATATTTTATATGGTCAATTTGTAAACAGTCACACTGTTAGAATGTTTGTTTTATTTAGTCAATTAGTAAAGTGTTGCACTATTTGAATATTTTATATGTTGTGATGTAAACTGTTGCGCTGTTACAATATGTTATATGAAATAGATATAAACTGTCGCACTATTCGAATATTTTACATGAATGGGATGTAAATTGTAGCGCTAGTAGTATATTTTACATGGTTTTGATGTGAACTGCTGCACTATTCAAATACATTTTATACAATTATGCAAATATTTCATATACAGCGAATGCAAACTACAGCACCATTAGAATATTGTACCCAGTCATGTTGAATTCTGATTCGCTAAGAACACAATTTATAAAGTCATGGTTTTGTTATTTAATTCACAGGAGAATGTTTACACTGTAGATGAGTACACAACTGGTGGCTGTAGAGAGATTGTCTTCCTTGCTCGATTTCTAGCTATGTCTGAGTCAGTTTATACAGTTTGTAGATTTTACCTTCCGCGCAGTTCCGGAAGCTGTTATCGGAGAATTGGTTATAAGGGGGAGTATCGTAAGTTGGAATTTTCAGGAGATTCATCACATCTCGTGCTACAGGTTTTCGAGCAGTTGGAGCATAGCCGGGGCTCCTGGTAAGCTGTGCTCGCTCACATTCCCACTGTGGCATTATACAGTACTGTTCATCAAAATCATACTGTGCGCATGCACCCTAGATAAAACCATAGAGTTAGCATTGCAATCAGTGCAGAAATTCAGCTGCTTGTTTGAGTTGGCAATCAGAATGCTTTATTTGTGAGTCATGGCTTAGATTAGGTCAAAACAGGGTAAAGAAACAGAAATAAAGTCACCACGATTCAAATTTGTAAAAAGTAAAATAATGCGGAGAAGGAATAAAGTTCTGGGAATTTGTCAACAAATGACACTATTATATGAACACTCTGAAATAACGTCAAGGCATGCAGCCAATAACTGGAAAGTTGACTTGTTGAATATTAGGTTGTTTTTAGGAGGTGGTAGTGGTTATAATATCAGCTAGTACTGGAGAGGAAGAGAATGTTTATATTTATTTATAAAATATTTTACCAGAATGGATAAATTGAGATTTCTCTCGTTTTCAAGTATGTCCTGGGTCCACAAACATTGCATTGATACATTATGGTACAATAAAATACAAAAACAATATTAATACACAATATATACAAAATTTAACATAGAACAGGTATGAAATATATAATCAACCATGTCACGTACATTCTGTTTTGAGATATGTAGGGAGGGATCTCTTAAAGTATTTTAGGCTTGGGGAGGATTATAACGTGTGTGGGAGGTTGCTCTACACATACAAATGGATCAACGCAATGACACACATTCAGACTGTGGTGAAAGTAACCTCGCAACTTGTACTTGGAGAGGACTACTTACCACTCTTTTGCCCTGTGACTATGGCCCCTTTAACTTATTTTGCCCGAGAGACCCTAATTGTGCCGATTAGGACTTGGCACAATGTACTTTAACTTTTGAACTAGTCGAAAGGGCACTTCGGATACAGCCGAAGTGGCCACCATTCGTATAGTCGAACACGTGGCAGCGGCCATCTTGTTTAGACAAATGTGTTTAGCTGTGTTTTGTTGTTGAGTTCATGAAACTCATATTGGACATGCAACGGCACGAACATCGCTGAACTTTACATTCTCCGGAACTTCGACTGGAGTCGAACGTTGTTCGACAATTCAAACAGCACTTTAACATTGACATTTTCACGAACGGTTTCTGTTCGTCTATTTGAACAGAACTTAACATTGGAAATAGATCGGCCGCACAGCCAAATTCGCTGGAACTGTTTTGGGCATGAAATCATGCATGCAGTGAGTCAAAAGAGACTTCCACAAAACATTTGAACCCCTGCTCTGATCTGGGTGATTTTTGGATATGTTGCTCACCCAGATCAAGGCTATCCAGGTATATAATATGGAGATATGTTATGCTTTGGGGTGTTTTCTAGACGTTGGGGAAATGTGTTTTTCTGTCTGTGGATAATTGTAGATTATGCTAGCTTTAGTGTACCTATAATCTTAATTTTATTAATGACAGAAGGCGAGTATTTACTGCTTAAGTCTCTCATTACTAGAACTCCACAGCAGCACAGAAATACAACCAATCAGAAAAAAGTTAGGTACTATAAAACTCCCCTCCCATGCATCATTTCCTCTTTCAAACTGCGACAAAAACAGAATAAAAGGCAGAAAACATAATGGAGAAGAAACAAAGTCCTAGATACGATGAATACAACGATGTCCACCATCCGAGAAGAACTGCCAAACCAGATAGCGTTGATGGACTGTAAACTGAAATGAGAGAAAAACTGAATCGAACTGGTTTATTATCCAATGAAATGTACTCTGAATTAACATGTAGGTACCCAATGTAGCAACCAAAAGTACCTTAATATGTAGATATCCCAACCCTACTTATGAAAAAACAGACATAAGAACAGGCGACAGGTAGCAGAGACAACAAGCAGAGTTGCATACGTACCTGATTAATCCAAACTATTAAAATTAAACAAGGGAAGGATAAGAATGGGTGGGCAGGGCCGGCGCTACCTGTAAGGTGG